TCTCTCTCTCTCTCTCTCTCTCTCTCTCTCTCTCTCTCTCTCTCTCTCTCTCTCTCTCTCTCTCTCTCTCTCCCCCTCTCTCTCTCCCTCTCTCTCTCGCACACATCTCTCGATCGCTTTCCGCATCGATTGCTTCCCTCTCGTAAATCGCAATTCCTTCATACCTTAATCGGCTTCTGCTTTATATACACGCTGTATTCTCGCACACCGCGTTCCCCCCCCTCCTCCGCCACACGTCTCTCTCTATTTTCCATTTCCTCGTACCCCCGTTTCTACTTGATGACTTCTACTTATACCTTCATGCTTCAATTGCCCGTTATCTCATACCTGGATCGTTTTGCCTTCTCATATCGCCTCCGCGACGCCGTGCGCAGTCACGCGACCAAGACACATCCTGACGTTATCCTGTCAACGGTATTAACTAAAACCGTCTTCAACACATTTGACACGGAAGCGAGCTACGGCTACTGATCGAGGATGATTTAGAGGTAGAGGGAAAGAGAGAAATAGAGGAAGAGGAAGATAGAGAAAGAGAGTAGGTACACGCAGGTGCGACGGGGGCAGGAGCGCGCGCGAATCGATCGCAGGGTCCGCGACGCGAAACGCCGCGACGCGGCGACGAACGAACGGTGCGGCCGAAAATTCGCGTGACGAGAACGCGAAATGGGGAACGCGCGCGGCGTCTCCCCTGCGGAAATCAATAAGCGGTGATCGCGGGAGCGATGTTTCCCCGTGGCCGTCCTGACGCTTCCCGGTCTCGGTCGTCGACGAGTCGATCTCGCGCGCGCGAAGCCGGCGAAAGAAACTCTAGGTATCCCCTGGAGAAAGAAAGAGGAAAAAAAGAGAGAGAGAGAAAAAGAGCGAGCCCCCGTGTTATGGTACGCCTCTTGTTTTCCCCTTAAGGCCGCTAGGGGATACTGACCGTGGACGACGAAAAGGACGACGTCTTCCTTTCCTCCGCCTCCTCCTTCTCCGCCGGCGCACCACTTCTTCCACCGATTTTGCCGTCGACCGCGGCCACGACGACGCGCGCCACGCAGCAGGCCGGTGTCCCCTACGAGGACGATGCCGCCGGAGGACGTTGCCGCCGTGCGCGTCGCGGCAGGTTCGCGGCGCCCGGCGTCCGAGAACTTCCCGCGCGGATACTCCCTTGTCCTTTTATTCCCTCGTTATTCTCACCGCTTCCTCCGTTATTCCTCCACTTCCACCTGTTCTGATTTCTTTTTTCCCCCGATCACGGAATAATTTCGTTATAAAAGCGCACAGCGGCAAAGGAACGACGAAGGAGGAACGACGAAGGAGGAACAACTGCCCTACGAGGCGACTGTATACGTCCCTCTTCGCGCGCGCGTCCTCACCCCCCGCACCCCCTTCTCTTGCGCAATCCTTTTCTCTTTCGCGCGCACGCTGGCGATCCTCGGCGGTCTCTCTTTCACCCCCAACGGGTATCCATGGCGCACGCGCCAGGTGTGTCCTTCCTCTCTGCCTTCCGCGTGCGCGTACTCTCCGTCCTCTCTCTGTCTGTCTCACCTTCTCTCTCTCTCCCCCCCTGTCCTTCCTTCTTCATCCTCTCTCGCGCGCGCGATCTATTTCGTATTCGTTCCTCCTGCGCGTCCCGCTCAGCTCGCTCGCTACGTTCGCGCTTGTTCGGCCGCCGCATCGACGCGTCCGGACACGGGGGACGAGACTCCCTCGTGCGCCTCCGTTCGCTCGCACGCTCGCTCGCAGCCATCATCGTCGTCGTCTTCGTCGTCCTCGTCCTCGTCCTCGTCAGGACGTTTGCGCATTCGAACGCCGTTGCTGACGTGAATCGGGACAAGAGAGGAATGAGCAAGGCAGGAAGCACGAAGGGAAAGGGACACCTCGAAGACGCTTCTCCGCTTCTCTCTCTCTCTCTCTTTCTCCTTCAGTCATGAAGGAATCGCGCGCGAGCCGGCTCGAATTACGGCGAATTGACCTATTTGCCTTAAAGGGGGTGGGCTGCGCTCCTTCAGCAGGAGGAGCGAGCCCGTTCTTGCGAGAAGCGTCCGGAATCGTAAGCCGGATAAGGGCGCAATGTCGTAGAGCGCGACCTCGAAGCCGCTCTCTCCTCAATTTCCCTTCCCTTTGTATGCAAGCGGCGGCGCTCGATTGCACAAAAGGGAGAGGGATCGAGGGTTGGAAAATCTTGGAGCATATCCCTCTCCTCTTCCTCTCTCTCCTTCTCGCCTCTACCCTTCGTCCCTCTCTCACCATCGGATTCGCGTTTCTTTTCTTCTCGGGACTTACCGCGCGTAACCAGAGCGCGCTATTATATCGGGCGTTCGGTCGGTCGATCCCAGGGTTGCTCCCGCTTTCCGGAGAAGTATGCCAGGAATTTATAGAATCCATCGGGGATATCGGCAAACTGATCCCGTCCCGCCTGGATATTTCTTGAACCACCACAAACGCAGATATACAACTTTGAACGGATATTTGAATTATAATTATCGCACTGCGGAAATTAAATTGATCGGCGTGGATTTATTAATAGCGGGCGTGGATTATTAATGTGTTTTTGTACGTACCTATATGCTACGCGACACAGATTATAACTATACAGGATATATATTAAATGGTAGATTCTCTATGAAAAATATTACAGATATATCTATGATAAATGTTACAATTGCATGTAGGCACGTATTTTGTTACTAATAATATTACTGATACAGACATTTGATACTGATCCACATTTGATGTAATTAATGGGTCAGCACAAACAAATAAATTTATATACCTATATATATATACATCCTGAATAAATTTTTTGTGCATTTTACAAAAGGTAACTTTCGTTTTCTAAATTTTGCCGGTATGCCCGGAATAAAACAGTTATTTAATTCCACGGTCCAAGAATATCACTGAAACGGGAACTTCGCCGAAGCGCTTCTATTTCCGTGAATTTCCCCGCGTTTTCTACCCAACTCTTTTCGGCTCCTCCCCGGCAGGAATGTAGGCGGCATATCGCCTAGCGTTAATCCTGTCATCGACATCGGTTCCGCGCGGAACTTTACGGCGGGCGACTTCCGGCACCGCCGGTGAGTATATCGATAGACACATCGGGGCGAAATTACGCTCGGGGATCCTCTGGCGTTGGCGTTTCGAGGTCACCGGGCGCCCCCGCCAGGATCTCCGGCGCGCGGATACACCGAAAAGCCCCTGACTGGTCGACTCTACGCGGAGGCGCTTATCGATTTTCAAAGCGGCATTGCCCCCCGCGAACGCCACTCTCCAGCAGGTCGCCGCCGTCGTCGTCGTCGTCGTCGTCGGACCCACTGTCGTCCTCCACGCTTTCGTCGTCGTCGTCGTGCACGCGAGAGACAGGGGCGAGGAAAGAGGGAGATCTTTGGGGACGATCGTGCAACCGGCCAAATCAATGAGACGCGTCCGAATGTCCGGATGCACTCTCGCGGCTGCATCTGATTGCCCGTTGCACGTGCATGCCTGTTTGGATATTGGATTTGCCGCGAGACTTATGTCCGAGCCTAGTGTCGGCACGTTCCACAACGACGACGGCCGTAGGCGTGTATAGGCGGTGGCGGCGGCGACGAGCGAGGACGATTATGGGTTATCGATATTGCGGACTTAGCTCGCCCCGCGCGCGAGCCGGGACGCTCATGGATATGCAAAAATGTAAAAAAGCGCTTCCCCAGACAACGTGGGCGGGAGTGTTTGGCCGGCGATCGTGTCGCCGTAGCGTGAGCAAACTAGTTCGCCTCTTTCGGAGAACATGTCGAGAGACGCCACCGGGGCCCGAAAGCCTATGGCCATCGGACAAATTCAGGGCGGTGTTTTTGGTCGATGTCCGATAGTCTAACGACGAGAGGCGACATAAAAAGAGGGAGCTGCGCAGGAAAGGTGTCGAGAGGAGGAAATTTATGGAACTATTACAAAGCGGAAACGGATGTTGAAGGAGAAAATTATGCAAACGTTTTGATGCGTTTACATAATTTTGATACCTACGTAAATGTGTACTTAATTGTACATACAGGAAAAATAGAGGATAGATAATTTTTTACATATAACATTTTTTCCATAAATAAAATTGTTCGAGCGAAAAAATTTGATCGAGAAAATATGAGAAATGAACGTTTGCGTGAAAATGATGAGTGCACGCTACTTTTTTGTATTTATCATAGGTGCAGGTTCCTCGGTTTCGTCTGACTAATGCAAGACTGTTCCACTTACATGAGAGATAGCGGTTCATCATTGTGAAAATGTATAGAGGCAATTAGCCGTGTCACGTGACATTATGTTCTGTCAAAACTTTAGGGCAGCTTTAGAACCGTTATTAACGTTTACAACGTTTCCGTATCGTATATATTTCGCCAAGGTTCTAAAATGCTACTATATGATTACTCAAGCCGAAAATATGAGTTTAAATTGGTGATTACCTTGCAAATTTTGGAAGTTAAATTAGGCAATTCATGCATCCTGCTTTTCCGCCGCAGGGGACGGTAAATATCTCAGAGAGCTTTCAACTCTTTAAACGATCGTTTGAGCGCGTAATTGCTATAACTGAATGCTACGAGCATGGCGCGGCTTATGAATAGTAATTCGTGCATTATTATTAGCTTTGACTGCAACGATCTAATTACTATCAGTTTCCGATATCGTACTTATTAATAGTCATCCAGCGCAGAATGCAAATATGAATTTCGCGGATGAATGAGACAAAGAACGGATAAAAGAAGAATAATGACCTCAGCGTGAAAATAATTCATTGTATCTTTTTTTTATAAACAAAAATTATGTACACTGTCTTACGACGTAAGTCTTTTTTAAATCGCGTAAAATTTGTATTTTTATATTTTACTAATTGTTATAAAAAGATATTTATTTTGACCTGCAAGCTGGAGATTTCATATGGAAATATCGTAAGAAGATCAAATTATAGTAAACTAATGATAATTATAATATTCCTGAAGTTTTTTTATTTCAGTATTAAAGCTTTA